TTTTGATGGGGGAGGAGTGTCTTGAAAGGTTTCATGAGAAAGGTGGCATTTGAACTAGGCTTTGGAGATAGGTAGTGTTTAGATATAGGCAAAGATGATAGAAAGGAATGGAGGTATGGGGGGAAAGGACGTTCTAGAAAGGGGTGCAGTGTCAGTAGTGGGGTAGATATGGGAAGAGTTACTTGCCTAGAATGGTAAGTTTTGATGGGCTTTCAAATGTGATATAAAAGTAAATTCAGATAGTGAAAGGCCTTTGGCTTAGTTTATACCATTCAAGGTTTTCAGAAAACCCATATGAGCATTGAAATGTTTCAGGGAAATCAGTATATATGAGATCTGTTCAATTCCGTAAATGGCAAAAAAAAAAGAAAAAGAAAGAAAAGGGTCATCTTTTACTCCCTTTTTCTCTAACAGACCACATTGAATTAATTTTCTTGGTTTCAGAATATATTTAGAATCTGACCACTTCTCACCACTGACAGTCCGTTTATTTCAGAGTCTCCACCATCTTCCATCTGCGTTATTGCCATAGCTTCTTATTTGTTCTCCTTGTCTCCCTGTAAGTTATCCTCAAGCCCCAGTCAGAGTGATCTTTCAACATGTAAGTCAGATATCATAGCATTTTGCAGCTAGAGCACAAACAACAAAATGCCTTTGATGGTTCCCTATTTAGTTCCAAGTAAGAGTCACCATCTTATATAAGACCCCACATATCTGACCCCACCTCACTTCCCATTCTCTAACCTAAACCTTTTCTTTCTTTCTCACTTACTGTGCTTTAGCTATTCCTTGCATGTTTATAATCTCAGGGCCTTTTCACTTGTTAGGTTCTTTGCCTGGAACTCTTGGTATCCAGAGATATATATAAAAACCCGCTGCTGTCGAGTCAGTTCCGACTATAGCCACTCATAGAGTCAGAATCGACTTGACAGCAGTGGTGTGTGTGTGTGTTTGTGTGTGTGTGTGTGTGTGTGTTTGTGTGTGTGTTTAAATATACATGGTTTATTCCCTTACCTTCTTTAGGCTGTTATTCAAATTCATTTTGTATTAATTTTTTATTTATTTGAAAAATTTTATTGTGCTTTAGGTGATGGTTCACAGAGCAAATTAGTTTTGATAGTTTGTACATAAAGGGTTCCCTGACATTGGTTCCATTCCCGCAATGTCAGGACTCTCCCCATTTCTGCTCTGGGTTCCCCATTCCCTTTCCTCTGGATTTTCTTCCTGGCTTCTCATCTTTGCTTTTGGGTAAATGTTGTCCTTTTGATCTCCTATAATTGATTGTTCTAAGGAACGCGTTCCTCTTGAGTGTTATTGTTTATTTTATGGGCCTGTCTATTGTTTGGCTGAAAGTTGGTCTCCAGGAATGGCTTCAGTTTCAGGTCAGAAGGGTGTCTTAGGGCCATAGTCTCGGGGGTTCCTCCAGTCTCTGTTAGCCCAGTAAGTCTGGCCTTTTTTGTGGTGAATTTGATTTTTTGTTCTATAATTTTTCTCTTGCTCTGTCCCGGACCTTCTGTTGTGATCCCAGTCAGAGTGGTTGGTAGTGTGTCTGATACATGTTTTAAGGAGCCCTGTTGGTGCAGTGGTTAAGCAATTGGCTGCTAACTGAAAGGTCAGTGGTTGAAAGCCGCCAGCTGCTCCACAGGAGAAAGATGTGGCAGTCTGTTTCTGTAAAGATTATAGCCTAGGAAACCATATGGGGCAGTTCTTCTCTGTCCTATAGGGTTACTGTGAGTCAGAATTGAATTGACTTGAGGGCACGGATTTGCTTTTGGGTACATGTATTTTAACTATTTTTGCTTGGTTTTCTTCCCTCACTAGATTGTAACCTATATGACAGCAGGAGTTTTTGTCTCTTTTGATTATTATTTATTCAGTGCCTAGAACAATGTCTGACTCATATATATTTGTTTAATGAACAAATAAATGAGTAAGAGGTGGATTATCTAGCTTTATTGTAGGCCATTCATGTGACAGATTTGATACCTTTAATTCCCTCTTAAGCAGGCAGTCGTTTATAAATACAGAAATCTCTTCTAAGGCATCTCTGCAAGATGACTGTTCAGCTGTTGGTCAAGCTTATAATGACTGGAATCTGAAATTTTTTTTATCATATAGGCCTGGAGTTGACAAACTTTTTTTTTAATAAAGGGCCAGATCCTGGTATACATTTATACGCGTTTCTGGTGGGTATTTGTTTAGGTGTAGAATTGCAGAGTTTTAGGGCATGTAGAACTTCATCCAATAGTGTATAAGAGTTCCTATTGCTCCTCATCCTTACCAGCTGTTGGTACTGTGAGTCTTTTCATTTTAACTATTCTGATGGGTGTACAGGGGCTGAATGTGAATTGAAAATGCAGGGTTCCTGGTTAAACAGTTACTAAGAATTTCAGAATGACTACAGCAGAGTATGAAACCAAATGACTGTGATTGCACACGTTGCACACCCATGAAGCTGGCCTCCTGGTACTGTTTCTGTCTAGTTTTAATTAGCATTTTTTTATGACTCTTGAAGTTGAGCCTTTTCATATGCTTACTGGCCATTTAGAAATCCTCTTTTGTGAAATGTCTCTTCATATTTGTTATGGATTGAATTGTGTCCCTCCAAAATACATGCTGTAAATCTTAACCTCTATGCCTGTGGTTATAATCCCATTTGGGAATGGGTTGTCTTTGTCATGTTAATCAGGCAGGATTAGTTTAGGGTGTGTCTTGAGTCAATGTCTTATATAATATAAAAAGAGCAGATTAAAGCAAGCAGAGATGGGAGAAGATAGACGGCATCCCACATGGAGATCTCCTAGGAACAAGGAAACAGAAGTTGAAGAGACAAGGATCTTCTCCTACAGCCGACAGAGAGAAAGCCTTCCCCTAGAACCAGCGCTCTGAATTCGCACTTCAGGCCTCCTAAAGTGTGAGAAAATAAATTTCTGTTTGTTAAAGCCATCCACTTGTGATGTTTCTGTTCTAGTAGTGCTAGATAATGAAGACGATATTTAACAGTTTTCTGTTGGCTGGTTTGTCTTTTACATATCGATTTATAAACATTCTTTATATATTCTGCATATGGGTCTTTGTTGATTATATGTGTTACGAATCTCTTTTCCCACTCTGGCTAGCCTTTTCACTCTCATTTTTTTTTTTTTTTTTTATATATTATTGTACTTCAGGTGAAGGCTTACAGAACAAATAGTTTCTCATGAAACAGTAGTACACATGTTGTTTTATGACATTGGTTAACAACCCCACAAGATATTAACCCTCTAAATTCTCAACCTTTTTTTTTTTTTTGGTGAAAATACACATAGCCAAACTTACACTGTTCCAAAAATTTCTACATACACAGTTCAGTGACATTGACTACGCTCTTCCAGTTGTGCTGTTATTCTCACTTAAGATGAAGGCTTACAGAACAAAATAGTTTCTCATTTAACAGTTATTACAAATGTTGCCCTATGACAATGGTTAACAATCTCACAACACATCAACAATATCCTTACTCAACCTTGGGTTCCCTATCACCAGCTTCCTTGTCCCCTTCTGCCTTCTGGCCCTTGCCACTGGACTCCTGTACCTCGTTAGTCTCATTTGGTTTTACAGGGCTGTCCACTCCCAGGCTGAACAGTGAACCTCGGATGTAACTTCACCACTGAGCTAAAGGGTGTCTGGGGGCCATACGCTCGAGGTTTCTCCAGTCTCCTTTAGGCCAGTAAATCTGGTCTTTTTTTTTGTGCGTTAGAATTATGCTCTACATCCTTCTCCAGCTCTGTCCCGAACCCTCTGTTGTGATCCTGGTCAGAGCATCAGTAGTGGTAGCCGGGCACCATATAGCTGTACCGGACTCAGTCTGGTGGAGGCCTTGGTAGCTGTGGACAATTAGTCCTTTGGACTAATCTTTTCTTTGTATCCTGTTCTCTTCATTCTCCCTTGCTTCCGAAATGATGAGACCAGTGGAGTATCTTAAATGGCCGCTCACAGGCTTTTAAGACCCCAGACACTACTCACCAAGGTAGAATGTAGAGCATTGTCTTTATAAGCTGTGTCATGCCAACTGAGCTAGATGTTCCTTGAGACCATGGTCCCCAGAGCCCTCCACCCAGCAATTCAGTCCCTCAGGGAGTTTGGATGTGTCTGTGGGGCTTCCATGACCTTTCCTTTGTCCAGGTTGTGCTAGTTTCCCCTGTATTGTATACTGTCTCACTCTTTCACTCTCATTTTGATGGAGAGAAGTTATCTAGTCAGTGTTATAAAATGTGTCAGACCTTTCCTTTGTTAGTGCTTTTAGTGGGCTGTTTAAAATATCCTTTCCTCACCTGAGCTTATCAATATTTTCTCAGGTGTTATCTTTTTAAAAGCTTTACTGTTTTGGATTTTATATTCAGGTTAACATAAATCAAATTTTTGTATGTTTTGAAATAATTAAATTTTATTTTTTTCCCATATGCATATCCAGTTGTCCCAGCACCTTTTATTAAAAAGATCATCCTTTCTTCACTGCTCTAGAGTGTCACTTTTGTTACAGATCAAGTGTCCATATATGCATGGATCTATTTCTGGGCTCCTTATTCTATTCCTTTGGTCCACGTGTCTGTCTCTGTGCCAGTAGTAGATTGCCAAATATACTAAAGCTTTATAATAAGTCTCTTTTTCTTCTTCAAGATATTTTGGCTATTTTTGGACCTTTTTATTTTCAAAATAAATTTTAGAAACAGCTTATCAACTTCCATTAAAAAAAAAAACACCTCTGTCCGAGGTGAGATGGGAAGGCAGAGAGGGTTAGGAGCTGGTTGAATGGACATGGGGAAGCAGGGGTGGAAAGGAGGAGTGTGCTGTCACAGTAAGGGGAAAGCAATTAGGGTCACATAACAATGTGTGTATAAAGTTTTGCATGGGAGACTAACTTGAAATGTAAACTTCATTTAAACTACAACAAGAGAAAAAAAAAAAAAGCCCAAAGTTAAATGCCTTGGGTTTGGCATTTATTGGCATTTATTTGGCAGTTATTTTGTGTGTTGCTGAGATTCTTCCTTCCCTCTCACTGAGGTGTGTTTGCTTGGATGACGAGGAAAGATGGAGTCCTCAGCAGTTGTTAAAACACAGCTTCATAAACCCTCAGCCAAAAATGCCTTTACTGGAACAAAGTCCTGAAGATTCTGGAGGATAAGATTATGTTGAGACTGTGATTCCTAGCAACCAGCTACCCAGCACTAAATTCTTCAGTGAAACACAGAGACGGTTTTCACGCTATTTCATTGAGTTTGAAGAACTACAACTTCTTGGCAAAGGGGCCTTTGGAGCTGTCATCAAGGTGCAGAACAAGCTAGATGGCTGCTGCTACGCAGTGAAGTGCATCTCCATCAACCCTGCCAGCAGGCAGTTCCGCAGGATGAGGGGCCTGGTGCCGCTGCTGTCACGTCTGCACCATGAGAACATCGTGCGCTACTACAACGCTTGGATTGAGCGGCAGGAGTGCCCAGCGGGCCTGGGGACACCGCCTCTGGACTCGAGGCCCCAGGTCGAGGATGGGCGAGATGCGCTGGGGCTGCTGGCGGGCGATGCCGACGGCACGGACAGCGTGGAGGCTGCCGCGCCGCCACCATCCTCAGCAGCTTGGTGGAGTGGAGCATGTCGTGCGAGCGCTTGGCCAGTGCCCGCTTCCCCGCCACCGGCCCTGGCTCCTGCAGCGACCGGACGAGTGGCACAACGTCTTCTCGCAGTCCTTCCTACCTTCAGATTCTGAAAGTGGCACCATCTTTGACAATGAAGACGAAAACAGTAAAAGTCAGCATCAGCAGAGAGGAGTAGAGAATTCCAGAACGCATCACACTCGGAAAGGATGAAGAGGGCAGTGAAAAGAGTGGTTGCCATGAAAGTGAGGCTGTGCAGTACCTGTGTATCCAGATGGAATACTGTGCAAAGAGCACTTTATGGGACACCATTGACCAGGGACTGTATCAGGACACCACCAGGCTGTGGAGGCTTTTTCCGGAGATTCTGGATGGATTAGCTTATATCCATGACAAAGGAATGATTCACTGGGATCTGAAGCCTGTCAGCATTTGTTTTGGATTCCGATGACCATGTGAAAATAGTTGATTTTGGTTTGGCGACAGACCATCTAGCCTTTACTGCTGATGGCAAACAAGATGATCAGGCAGGAGACCACTTGATTAAATTAGACCCCTGAGGTCACTTGACTGGGACGGTTGGTACTGCTTTGTACGCATGCCCAGAGGTCCAGGGAAGCATCAGTTCTGCATACAACCAGCCCACATCACCCAAGTTTCCAGAAGACTTTGCTGATGGCAAGCATATGAAGCAGGAACCTGTCATCTCCTGGCTGCTGAACCATGACCTAGCCAAGTGGCCCACAGCCACGGATCTGCTCAAGAGCGAGCTGCTGCCTCTGCCCCAGATGGAGGAGTTGGAGCTGCATGAAGTGCTGCACCATACCCTGGCCAGCGTGGACAGGAAGGCCTGTCGCACCATGATGGGCCACATCTTCTCCCAGCACACCTTCCCTGCCATCAACTACACCTACGACAGCGACATCCTGAAGGGTAACTTCTCAATCCGCACAGCCAAGATGCAGCAACGTGCGTGTGAAACCATTATCCTCATCTTTAAAAGACATGGAGCTGTTGAACTGTGTACCCCTCTACTGCTTCCTCGAAATAAGCAAATATACAAGCACAACGAAGCCACCTTGTTCATGGACCATAGTGGGATGCTGGTGATGCTGCCCTTTGACCTGCGGGTTCCTTTTGCAAGATATGTGGCAAGAAATAATATATTGAATTTAAAACGATACTGTATAGAACGTGTGTTCCGACCTCACAAATTAGACCGGTTCCATCCCAAAGAACTTCTGGAATGTGCATTCAGTATTGTCACTTCTACCACCAACAGCTGCCTGCCCATTGCTGAGATCATCTACACTATTTATGAAATCATCCAAGACTTTCCAGCACTGCAGGAAAGAAATTACAGTATTTACTTGAACCGTACCGCTTTACTGAAAGCCATACTCTTACACTGTAGGATCCCAGAAGATAAACTCAGTCAAGTCTACATTATTCTATATGATGTCGTGATGGAAAAGGTGACGAGGAAAGAAGTGGAAGCTAAATTTTGTAATCTGTCTTTGTCTTCTAATAGTCTCTGTCGACTCTACAAATTTATTGAGCAGAAGGGAGATTTGCAAGATCTAACACCAGCAATAAATTCTTTAATAAAACAGAAAACAGGTGTTGCCCAATTAGTGGAATATGGTTTAAAAGATCTAGAAGAGGTGGTTGGACTGTTGAAGAAACTTGGCATAAAGTTACAAGTCTTGATAAACTTGGGCTTAGTTTACAAGGTACAGCAACACAATGGAATCATCTTCCAGTTTGTAGCATTCATTAGACGAAGGCAAAGGGTGGTACCTGAAATCCTCGCAACTGGAGGCAGATATGACCTGCTGATTCCCTGGTTTAGAGGACCACATGCTCTTGGGCCAGTGCCCACTGCCATTGGTGTCAGCATAGCTATAGACAGGATATCTGCTGTTGTCCTCAACATGGAAGTACCTGTTACAATAAGCTCTTGTGACCTCCTGGTGGTGAGTACTGGCCAGATGTCAATGTCCAGGGCCATCAACCTAACCCAGAAACTGTGGACAGCAGGAATCACAGCAGAGATCATGTATGACTGTTCACAGTCGCAGGAGGAGTTGCAAGAGTACTGCAGGCGTCGTGCAATCACCTACATGGCTCTCATCTCAGATAAGAAGGAAGCCATGTCAAGGTTAAGTCTTTTGAGAAGGAAAGGCAAACAGAGAAACATGTGCTGGAGTCCGTTCTCGTGGACCATGTGGTGCAGAAACTGAGGACTAAAGTCAGTGATGAAAAGAATATCAGAGAAGCTTCCGATAATCTTGCAGTGCAAAATTGGAAGGGATCCTTTTCTAATGCTTCAGATTTGTTTGAGATCCACGGAGCAACAGTTGTTCCCAGTGTGACTGTGATTGCGCCAGAGAAGCTGTCAGCCAGCACTAGGACGCGGTATGAAACCCGGGTGCAGACTCGACTCCAGAATGCCCATGCCAGATTACATCAGAAGAGCAGTGAAATTGAAATTTTGGCTGTGGATCTACCCAAAGACACCATCTTACAGTTTTTATCATTGGAGTGGGATGCTGATGAACAGGCATTTAACACAGCTGTGAAGCAGCTGCTGTTACACTTGCCAAAGCAGAGATACCTCAAATTAGTCTGTGATGAAATCTATAACATCAAAGTAGAAAAAAAGGTGTCTGTGCTATTCCAGTATAGCTACAGAGATGACTACTACAGAATCTTATTTTAGTCGTAAAGAAGTGTCATTACATCGTTCCAACAGACAAGGACTTATTCTATGGAATGTTGTACATTCACTGTAATTTTGAAGGAACTTTAAATTCTAAGAAGCTGTCCTACAAAGTTGAGCTTTGTCAGTTTTTTGCATGTGTAATATATTATAAATTTATCTTTTTGAATATAGTAAATGCTTTCGTATAAAAAAAACCTGTTGTGATTTTGATTGAGACTGCATTAAAATTATAAATCAGTTAGGGGAGAAATGACATCTTTCATTATATTATTGAGTATTTCAATCTGGGAATGTACTAAATTTTCCCATTAATTTAGGGTTTTAAAAATTTCTTCAAAAATGTCTGTTAGTTTGCTATTTAGAAGTATTGTACCTTTTCACCATATTTATTATTAGAGATTTTATTTCAAAAACTTGTATTGTAAATAGTATTTTCACGGATAAGAATCAACATAAATCCAGTTCCCAAAATTTGAAAATTAATCACATCCCCAGTTTTCCACTTCTCAAGCATATATGACACCCCTAGCCACCTGAGCTAGGTCAGAGCTCACAAGTTAAAAGGACACTGTCCTTTAGAGTGCCAGTAGACAGAAGCCAACTGCAAACTCGGGAGTCCACATGACACCCTTACTTCTGACCTGATGTTTGCAAATTTGGGGTTTTCCCACTACCCCTTCAGGATGCCAGCCACAAATCTGGGGGCCTTTCCTGGGTTCCCTCCCTTTCACCCATTCACTGGCTCAGCTACTCCTTTGGCTTCAATAATTTGCTGGAACGACTCATTGAATTCACAGAAAGTACTAAACGATTACATATTTATTATAGCAAAAGGATACAAATCAGAATCATCATAAGGAAAAGACACGTGTGAGGTCTGGGAGTGTTCCCAGTGTGGAGCTTCTATATCCCAAAGAGGGTATGCCACCCTCCCGTTGCCAACCAGGAAGCTCTTAGAGCCTCCATGTTGAGAACCTTTACTGGTTTCATTATATAATCATGATTGAGGCCTCATTGCATATGCATGGTAGGTTAATTTACGCTTCCTGAGGTTAGTTGATTCAGGGTGCCAGGTGGTCTTTTTCGTCTGGTCAGCCTCCACTCATAAATGCTCGGATGTGGTCTGAAGATTTTAGATATTAAAGGCACCTAAATTACTCAGGAAATTCCAAGAGTTAGCTCTCAGTAACCAAGGACAAAGGCCAGATTGTTTTTTGTAAGATGATCCATTACCACACAGTATTTAAAAATTACCTAAGTGTTTTTTTTGCTGATATGTAGAAATGCAATTGATTTTTGTCCATTGGCCTATTTTTTGGTTTACTTTTTTAAACTACACCCTGATGGCGTAGTGGTTAAGAGCTCAGCTGCTAAGCAAAAAGTCAGCAGTCTGAATCCACCAGCCAGTCTTTGAGAACCCTATAGGGCATTTCTCCTCCGTCCTATAGGGTTGCTATGAGTCGGAATCGACTTGATGGCAATGGGTTGTTTTAAAAAACAGATTGATTTTTAGGGCAGTTTTAGGTTTACAGAAAGATTGCATAGAATCTACAGAGAGTTCCCATATTCCCCCTCTCCTCCACAGTTTCCTCTATTAGTAACATGTCCTTTTTCTTAAATTTTTTTTTTTTCTCTTTGTGCTTTATTTTGGTTAGTTTTTTTAAAATTTTTATTTATTTTTATTGTAGTTTAGATGAAGTTTTACAGAACAAATAGTTTCTCATTAAACAGTCAGTACACATATTGTTTTATGACATTGGTTAACAACCCCACGACATGTCAACATGTTCCCTTCTCGACCTTTTTTTTTTTGGTGAAAATATGCATAGCCAAAGATACACCATTTCAAAAATTTCTACATGCACAGTTCAGTGACATCGATTACGTTCTTCCAGTTGTGCGGCTATTTTCACTTTAGATGAAGATTTACAGAAAAAAATAGTAACCAAGAAAGATTGTTACTTTTTGTGTGTAAACTTTTTCATGAGTTTCTACAGTAGAGGTCTCATACAATATTTGTCCTTTTGTGATTGACTTGTTTCACTCAGCATACTCTCCTGTGCTAAATTCCTTTCCTTTGTGGATTTTTTTCCATTTCTTTTGTTTTTGTAAGTTTTGTTTTTACTGAAACTTTGTTTTTCCTCTTTATTTTTATGAGTGTGTTTGTTAACTTTCTTTGTGGTTACCGTGAAATTTACCCTTATCTTTCTAAGTTTGAAGCAGTCTATTATTACTTGGTATCGCCTTGCCTTCCTCTCCATTAGAAGGTTCTATACCTACACTGTTTATTCCCCCTTTTATTGTTCTCAGGTTGTTGTCATTTACAGATTAACTACTCTGATTCCCTGTTGTATTTCTTTTGGTTTTGGATAGTCCTTGAGAATTCATTTCCTATATTGGTATCTGGCTGGTACGACCTGCATCCTAGATTCAGCCTGTGAGCTGAAGTTGTTTGTTCTCAGATCGAAGGACTCCCTTTAATAATTCTTGTAAATTTGGTTTGGTTTTTACATATCCCATTAATTTCTGTTTATATGGAAATGTCCTAATTTCACCATCATATTTGAACGAGAGTTTTGCAGGATATTTTATTCTTGGCTGGCAATTTTTTTCTTTCAAGGTTTTATATATGTCATCCCATTCCCTTCTTCCCTGCATGGTTTCTTCCGAATAATCTGAGCTTAGTCTTATGGTTTCTCCTTTGTATGTGACTTCTTGTTTTTTACGAGCTGCTCTCAGGATTCTTTGTTTCTCTTTGGTTTTGGCAAGTGTGATTATGATATGCCTTGGTGATTGTCTTTTGAGATCTGTCCTATATGGGGTTTGTTGGGCTTCTTGGATGGCCAACTTTTCATCTTTCATGATATTGGGGAAGTTTTCTGTCAGCAGTTCTTCAATGATCCTCTCTGTGTTTTCTGTTTTCTCCCCCTGTTCTGGAACTCTTACCATTCACAGATTTTTGCTCTTGATTGTCTCCCACATAATTCTCAGGGTCTCTTCATTTTTTTTGTTCTTTTTTCTGAGTTTTCCTCTAACAGAGTTGGATCCAGGTGTTTGTCTTCAATTTCGCCGATCTTGTCTTCCACTGTTTCAAACCTCCTCAGCCCTTCTATGACACTGTCCATTTCTGAAATCTTGTTGTTTATCTTTTGGATTTCTAATTGTTGTTTTTGTATAATTTCTAGTTGTGAATTTATTTTGGCATTTTGTTCCTGCATTATTTTCCAGAATTCTTCCATTTTTTTTTGTCTATATTTTCCATGAATTTGTCTGTTTTCTCCTCAGTTTTGTCTGCTTTTTGCTTCAGCTCTTGAATAATTCTGAGTATTAGAGATTTGAATTCCCTATCAGGTGTTTCTAGTGCCTTTTCTTCTACTGGAAAGTCATCTGGTGTTTTATTTTGGATGCCTACTGGAACCATCCTGTCCTGTTTTTGTAAATGTTTTGGTATTGTCTGCTGTCTTTGGGGCATTCAGTAGTTTGTTTTCTCATTTATTGATTGTAGATTTGTGTGTTTCGTCCTTTTTTTTTTTTTTTAAAAAAATTTGACTATGTCTGAGCAGGTGAGCTTTGTGTTCTTTGTTGTTTGATCATCTGTGGTGGGCACGATACTTTTCGCCTCTTTCTCCAATTGGCAGGGTCAGTCTCTCAGACATGATACAGCAGTGCAGGTCTAGCTGAAGAGTAGTTGCTGGGATGGGTTGTTCGTGGCATTTACTACAACCACCAGGGTGGGTTGGTAATCAGTGCAGGGCAGGTTCCAGTAGACCATGCTTGTGCTGCTTGGTGATGTTTAGCACATGTTGCAGGTAGGCAGGCTGGAGGGGGGAGATTGTGATGTATGGAGCTAAGATGGGTATGGGAGAGAGGAGAGAGGAACAGGAGCCAAAAACATACAAACAAACAGAAAAGAGTGCTAGAGGAGCTTGCCATTGGAGCGGAGAGATGAGAGACTATGAAACTGAGAAAAACAAAAAGGGGAAGAAGACGAGAAAAAGAAAAGAAAAGAATGAATAAATAAAAATTAGAAAGAAAAAAGAACAGCAGAGCTCCCAGGGATCCCACCAGTGTGGCTACAAGGTCTGGGGAAGTTGTTCCCAGGTGTTGAAGTACAGCCTGGCTAGGAGGGTTAGAGGCGTCACTCAGCGCCAGGTGTTCAGGGGACAGGAAGAGAAGGAAGGTATAGAGAGACGAGAAACTTAGTAATGAAGAAAGACAAAAAGGGGAAAAGAGGGAAAAGAAAACAAAACAAGTTGAAAAGAAAACATAACAAGTTAAAAAAAAAAAAGAACAAGAAAAAACCCTCAAAAAACAGAGGAAAAAAAAAGCCACGAAAAAAGAAATGCCCTCCGGGAACCCTCTGCTCATCTGCACAAGCTGAGGGGTTAGGCCCCAAGCCCTGCAGCACTGCCTGGCTAGAACGGGCTCCCAACTCTAGAAAGGAAAAAGAAAACAAACGAACAATTCAAAACAAACAAACAAAAGCCCCGGGATCCCACCAATGTGGCAGCATGAACCAGGAAGCAGTTCCACACTCGAACGAAGATGCACAGCCCCTCAGGAGGAAGCAAAAATGCCACCTGGAGCTAAGTATTTGAGCGAAAGGATGGGGAGGTGGTGAGAGGTAAGGAAGAAATCAAAAGAAGTGGAAAAAAACAACACCAGCAGCCAACAAATAGCACTCAGGGAGTCGGCTAGTGTGGGCGGGTGGAATCGAAGCAGCCGGTGCTTCCCGGCCAAGAGACTGTGGCCACGGGAGGCAGAGGAGGCTGAGTGGGGGTGAAGAAGGGTGGGGGGTGGGAAAGCATATATTGCCAGTTACCGGTTGTTCTGTCTCATGCTGGAAGCTCCGTGAAGCTGCTTTCTCGTACACCCTATTTGCTGGTCTCTGATAGGAGTTCAAGATGGCAGATCCTTGCTGTGTTAGCTGATAGGAGACTTCTCCATGTATGTCTCCTCGCTCTCTGGTCTCTGTCTGTTTCTTATTCCATTTGGTGCTTGGCTGAGTTCTTTATCCCTTCATTTGATGTTTAGGGTTTCAGGATTGCTGTTTTCTCTGTTTGGCTCAGTTTTTCGGATCTTTGCTGTGGAGGGACGGCGTGGTGCTTATGCCTCGAGTGCCATGTTGCCAGAAGTGCCAGTTTTTTAAAATCTATTTTCCAACACATTAATTTTAATGTAGGCTCTTTCTATTATATATTTCTTCCCTTAATACTGAGCTGCCATTCTGTAGGGACATAAACTAAACCGAATGCATTGCTGTTGAGTCAATTCCGACTCATAGCAAGCCTATGGGACAGTAGAACTGCCCCATAGGGTTTCCAACTGCTGACCTCGTGGTTAGCAGCCTGAGCTCTTAACTGTTGCGCCACCAGGACTCCTGTGGGGACGTAATTGGCACCAAATAGGAAAATGGTTTCCACTTCTAGACTAATTTTCTGTTAAACCTGCTTCTTGAGTTATTAATTTCAGTCATTGTATTTTTACTTCTAGAATTTATTGGTTATTCTCTTTCAAGCCTGCAAAGTCAATTTTTATAGTTTCTATTTTCTTTTTGAAATTTCAAATTTACCTGTATCTTTGTGAGCATTATTCTTATCATCTGATTGTGGTATTTCCTCTATTTAGAATTCCTTTAGATCTGTTTATGTTATCTTTTTCACAATGTAATTTATCTGATTTGGTTGTGTACTGAACATTTTATTTAAAAATATTTTTAGAAATAATTTGAGATCTAGGACTGTAATACCTTCCTTCAGTTAGGACTTTGCTTGCTTGTGCCAGTACCTGGTAGCACATCTTTCTGGATCATGGCAGTTTATTTTTAGGG